TTTTTCACGAAATGTTGGAAGGTGACAGAGTCATTCCGCGATCTCTTCGACTTTTCGGCGATGGAACAACCAGCCAAAGCCAACCAAGAAATGGGGTCTGCTCCTAAATCTGCCATATTCATCAGCGGAAACTGCTATGGATTATCTCGCTAACCGTTCGCTGAAAAAATGGCTGGGGAATAGAACTTACGTTGATTTGAATGACTTGATGGCCGATGTCAAGGCGTGGATCGCCTCCAAGGATCAAAACGCTTCGCTTTTGGAATCCGACTATCTAGCCAATGGGAAGCAGTGCTTGACGAAAATGGTGGATGAGTTCCAGAGTAATTATCTAACATGTTTTTGTCCAGTATAATTGTCGCTTCATTGAATAAAACTTGTTGCAAAAATCCGCAATAATTTTGCATCAACCTAATAGAATAGTTTTTTTTTTCTGTTGAAGCTTCACATTGAAAAGATTTTTCTGTCCATGTAAGCATTTATACATGGCTTATTCTAGTATTGACCTGAAACAATAACAGGAATGATTTTGAATATTTATCAACAGCGAAAAAGGTCAACAGATTTATGAACGCTTTGTAGTTCGACAAGAAGGCGTATGGCAAGTGAATTGCTGAAGCGAGAGGGCGAGAGCATCGAGGGGGCCAAAGGAGCAATTGGAAAAGACACACGTCAAAGACGTCGTTGAAATAGGTATGAGAATTTTACAAAATTCAAGGAAAAAGATCAACTTCTTTGTTCTAACGCTTAGAGACGAGCTTATATGAGATCAATACTTTTCTAGGAAATAATTAAAATGCGAATAAATAGATAGATACCTATGTATAGATTATGAATCCACTACCTCCTATCTACGTATGATATCACCAATACGTTCTAGGCTTTTCTATACATTATTACTTTGGAGATCAATAAATCAAATCAATAAATTATACACTGTATAGAGAGCTAAGCGATTTTTTAGTGGTTCAGTTATCCAACGAAAAAGAAGCTATCTTTTCATGCTGTCCCAGAAGTCGCGCAGCACAAGGAGGAGGGGGAGGGCGAGGGAGGGTGAGGTGGTCTTTTGGCGCGATCCCTCCCATCGTGCCCCCCATTCAAGGCGGTGTGTGAACTGCATAACTCGTCCAGGTGATCCGCCAACCCAGTGCCTATGCAGCTGATATACACTCGATCGATGACACCACTACTATTAGACGTCGAGTCACGGACCTACCGCTGACCTGCTTGTGTTGTGTCTATGCAGCGATTAGCATGATCAAGAGGTCGAATCACCTGGACGAGTTGTCCAGCTCACAGACCGCGTCGAATGGGCGGCGCGATGGGAGGGTTCGCGCCAAACGGCCTACACCCGGAGGAGGGTATAGGGTCGGACATTTCCGTAATGTTTCTATAGTCAACGTTGATGAATGTTGCAGTAAAATCGACAACTGGAACACTTCTGAAAGTAGGAGAAAGAAGTTTGGTGAGGTTTCGTGGTAGAAGGCCACAAGGAAACATTGGCAAGCAAGGAAAATTGGGCAACATCAGAGCAGCCTCATCACCCAACGAGGATAAGGCAACAGAAATTGAGTTTGAACGAATTTTCTGCGGTTCTTTTATTCGTCCTGCAAAAGGACTATTGCATGGCGAGAATGATCTGTTTCCAGTTTCAATTTATCTTGCGTGGGCATCGATGCATCAAGGGACAAACTTTGTGCGCGGCTTTTGGGACACATCATTGACACCAATAAGAGATCTCAGGCTCAGCTGACCTCGCCAAATATACCAGCAAACGTGCGCTTAAGCTGTCCCATTGTGTCATCGGCGAATGAGGATTGTGAAGTCACAGGCGGCTGTTCTTTAGGCTCTGCTTTGATCTCGGGAACTTCCAGTGGTCGCTTCTCAGTAGGGTGAGGACGAACGTTATTCTGGGCAGGCGCCCTAACTGCCTCCTTCGGTCGTTCCATCGATGGACGGGATGGTAGTCGAGGAGGAGGAGCCAAAATCGCTCGTAACAGAGCGGCAGCATTCCGTCGATCGTCTTCTTGTGATTCACCGAAAAGAGCTGGAAAAGGAAATTACTGGAAGTCGGTGATTCTGCAATGGTACAGTTGATGAAAATACTTTACCGATAACGTCATTGACATCGTGCACATATTCTCGTCCTTCTTTGGAGACTAGTATGTCTATCGAACAAATCGACATTCGGCCAACATGCTCGCAAATCGCATGTATGTACTGTCTATGCCTATAATTTGCTCTTTTCAACTTTCCAATCCCAGGAACATGCATGTTTAATAGACCATTACAATTAAGTGGGTGGGACTTTCTTTTGTGGGCGTGGTTCATACTCAAAGGTAACTGCAGGAAGTGCTCGAACCTCCCCACAAGAGAATTAGTAAATTGCATACCGATCGCTTGTCGGAATCTGTTCCAACACAGCCGAGCCAACGTTGCTTTTCCAATTCTTCGATATACCCCTACGCAGAAACGTTTTGATGTCGTGGCCGACTTTCTGTACATGCACGTCAAACTTCAGATCAACATACGGCTCCACTTCTACCTAAATTCCAAGAGAATTTAATCTCCATTGATAATTTGGCCATGTATAATGATATTAAATATGACACACAATACCCTTCGCTAGAAAGTTTGCGAATTTCTGGACCAGTATCAAAGGCGCCTTCACGACAGAAATGGCTTTTGAGGTATCATTCTGGGATAAATCTGTGGCTCCTTCGTATGCCATATGACGCTGTCAGCTCGGAAAACGACTCAGATAGGGCGTTATAAGGGCCCAGACATTGTATCGGCTGAATGGCATACCCATGACGGAGGAGTTTCAACGGCTTCGTACAGGCAAAAGAACCCATGTAGGATGTTCAAACAATCTGGCATGACCCGAAGCAACAGTGGAAGGTAGATTCGAACAATTTTGGTCTGGTTAATCAGCTCGTGGCGTAATTGTAACAAATGAAATCTCGTCCGAATACCCTTTCCATGTCACTCCCTTCTCGACGGTACCAAAGGCCTTCTTCGAATCATTGAAATTAGAACGTGATGGCATTATGTACTCTTGCGATACTTCAATGAATCTTGTTGCAGTGTGGATATGATCAATCGTACTGAATTCTCTCTGAGAGTCATGAAGCAAAGGGGAGCAAATCTGCAGGTCTATAGAATCTGTCGGGCGGAGGTGGTGTAGTGGCAAGAGGCGCACTATCTCACACGTACGGTCAGGGGTTCGAAACCTGGATCGCGCCCTAACCAAATAGGACACTTCTTGGTGAACTTGCTACCAAGAGCTGAATGGATAAGTTAAATGAAACTGCAGAAGGTTCTGATGCCAAACTGTGGACTGACCTCGGTATCGCCTTTGCCCATAATCTGGAGCATACCCTCAACGTCACACAATTCTTCTTGACTGTTCACTTTCATCTTTCCGATACCCTGGTAGCCTTCATTAACCGAAATCACCACAGGGAAAGTTGTTGGTTGGTGCTGAAAAGTTTTCAATATTGATGAAAGAACATTAATTTCTAGTGTTTTTTTTTTCATGTGGTTTGGTTTTAGGGACCAAGAACTTCAATTGAATAGTTGCTGTGGTTACGCATTCAATTCTTTTCTCTGAACCAAAGGGGGGAAGCTAGACAAAAATTTTCAGATAATTATTGTAATTAACTATTTATTGCATAGTCTCGGTTCCCAATATAAGAATAGGTATATCCTCAGTGGTGTCACGTGGATCGTATTCGAGTCGATAATCGGCTTAGATAGGGTGCAAAGAGGGCTCAATGATTGAAAGTTTCGGAAGCCACATCCAGAAGCGGGAATGGCTTGCAGACTTGTGGGAGCTATGCCAGCCTTAATGGAGCACATATATCGGACATTCAAACGGTGATCGTTCTAAAATCTGAGCCATAGAGTACAAAGCAATTGATGACAATAGGAAGTCCGTAGCCAACTGTTTGTGCAACGGCACACGGCTGGAATTTCGCCCAAATACCCCTTTTGCCGTCGCAGCCCACGAATTTGAGCTTTGTATTAGTTCTTTGCATTCCTACTTTACGGAAATTATGAATTTCGGCATCACCTTCCCCACCGACTCAATGTTTTCTACCAACTCTATTACCCTCAAACAGGACCATAGGATTTCTCTGAACCGGGCTTTCAGTCGGTGTGCATGGAAGAGTCCCAATCCGCTGACGGCGTGCTAGAAATCCTAGTCAGCTGCCTCAAATCCATTCGACTCCTTATTGTGGTTCAGTCAATGTTCAGGGGCTAAATAGTGTGTTGGGTCTGCTTCACTCAGGCTGTGTCAGATCAGCTGCTTCAGCAGCACCTATTGATGGACGTCTGGGGGCAAAGCGAAGCAAGATTCAACGTTTGACCATTGAGAGGGCCATTTGGAGAACAGCGAAGATGTCAGGAATAAGTGTTAGCAGAGCTTTTAGCAGTAGAGCTTGATTAGAAAGATAATTTCGATATCTGTTCAAAATTACTTACAAATCGATGAAAGTGGGGATAGTGTATCGTGGGCAAGAACGGTATACGGCTATTATCGGGAAGCACCAGCTTACGTAACTGCTTCTTCTGAAAATATGAAATTGGTATCAATATCACAAAAAAACATAGCGAGCTTCTGTGTGAGACAAACTCCCGAGAAGAAGAATATACCCGCATTTCAAGAAGGTGTGGTTACGACTTTTTTCTATTTCCTATATTTTATTTTTCCAACTTACTACTCAAAATTTTCTTATCCAATACAAAAATAAATGTGAAAAAAAAAGTTGGTGTTTGTCTCAAAGGGCGATTCCTATAAAAATTTCGCGTTTTGTTCCGTTAAAAAGCGAAGAACGAATCAGATCTTTGATATCGTATCAATCTACAAACCCTATAATATAACTTCACACCCACTAAAATACATTTTCAATTTTTTCAAAAATCCTGTGTTTTATGTTTTCACATGAGCACTTATACCGTAAAAATCCTTTTTCATGTTAACGGCATCGTTGATGGAAACAAAGTGCATTGATCTTCTCACAATCAGTTCTCGTGCTTCCAGGAAATCCAAAAATCAGGTCCATCCTACGAAGTCCGAAAAAATTGTGGAAAAAAGTTTTTGGTGTGCTGCGGTCATAAACCTTGGGAAGTACTTCAAAAAAAAAAGATGTTCAGATGCATGTAATCATAACTTTATATGAAATTACTGCTCAACTTTTCCTTTTTTCAATTTTTTCAGGATTCAAAACTGAAGTGATTCGAAGACGACCCCCGTAGGATTTTTGTTGACCAAAAGTATTAAATTTATTAAAGGTAATCATCAAAAAACGGAGGGAATAGATGCCATGTACGGCTTTCTCGGAACCTCGGCATAGTGCAAATATTGATTTATTCGCTTGAACATAAAGGGGTAAAGAGTAAAAATTCACCTTTTGTGGCTTTTTTTTCATTTGTGGTTTACTTTTTTTATTATAAAAGCTGGAATCAAAAAAATTCACTTACCAAGTTGTTTTTATCCATGAAAGCTATCATTGACGTGTGACTATTGACAAACGGGATATTGGCTGCTATCAACGCTCGCAAAATTGTCTTCGACTGAGGACTGCGCGTAGCTGATGGACCGACGAATGCTGCTTGTGGACAGAAGGTCCTGCATTGATAGCATTAAGAATATCAAAAACAGTGTATTAGGGACCCAAGGGCACTTTTGCAAGGTTTTCAAGATTATGTAGGTGGGAACCGTCAAGTCAGTGACGGCGTTATCGTAGCATCGAGGGGTTAGCAAAATCGGAACAAGGTTACAAAATTTGGTGACTCCGCCCAGTGTTGTACGAGTTCGGCGTCATCGAAGTTTGAGTTGAGCATTTTGTGCTGGTTTTCTCAATAGCAACGCGACACATATAGGATAGCCTCAGGAGCCACAGGTTTTTCCCGAAATCAAGTTCGATCGTGAATGGTTGAATAGCAGTCTTGAAGCTGCTTCAAGGGATCACTTTGAGGCATCTACTTGTTTGGTGAGTTAAGAGATTGGTCCCAAGGAAACCTTGTCCGTACCTTGGATCTCGTCCGACCTGATTGATTTCTATGGTCAAGCTGTGTTCGGTACATAGCACATCGAGCTCGGGAAAGTCTGCCTGGAATAGTTGCTATGTTTAGGACCGCCAACTCTTTGGATTAGCTATGACAACATTAGATAAAACGGTGGGGCCTCCTTCCCTTCTTTCCAGCAGATGCAAAGCGCCTCAATAGCTATTATAGTAAGCTACCGCGCATGTAGAGCTTTGCACAGAAGGAGATTTCTACAAAAATAGCACTATAAGATCGATATAAAAGGAACGACTGCACTCGGATTGCATCTCATTCTGTTATTCTCATACAACCTTTTAAATTCTCTTCTGAGTATCCTTACTTGCTGATGGAAACAGTTGGGTTGAGCTTTAGTATTTTCGAGACACTGTAGTCAGCTCGTTTGTTCGATTTTGGCGATTCTGACAAGGTCCTAGCTATCTCTACATCCTATCAACCGTGACTTGGAGCGGAGTTAGAGAACTACCTAATAAAGAACATTTGCTGTAAGTTCACCCCCTTATTTTAGTTTTTTTTTTCGCTACCGTATTTACTAATTCATAATTGAGAATTTCTAGAAAGCTATCAAAAAATCACCTGTTCAACCCGAATTGGAAAGTCATTAGGATTTCGGAAATACTTGCTCCTGAAAGTGTCTTGATTAGTCATACGCACTTAATAATATGTGCCATGTTTAAAAAAAATACGTGAAAGTAATATCCTAATACGTCAGAGCAGAGGACATAAGAGATCGAGACAGTCTTACCCCATAATCCCAGAAGTTTAAACAAGGAGTTTTGGATCTGCTAACCATAATAGAGGCTCGGCACTACCGCACTCGGTCATCTTCGGATGAGGGGACGAAATTCAAGGTGGCATTTGGTAGGAAAAAGTGGGTGGAGGGTAGCATTATAGAAAAAAGGGAGTATGGATGTAGTCGCACGAATGGGATAACTATTAGGTTGATGCATAATTATTGCGGATTTTTTCGTGGCCTTTTTTCTCTTGATAGAATTTGAATATTGAGTTCGGGTTTTTTCTAGGAATGATCTACCTGATTTCCCCTACAAGAATATACTCAAGAGTCCATCCGCATATTCGCGAAATTAGGCCTAACTACTTCGAGAAAGGTTGGAAGGTGGCAAAGTCATTCCGCGATCTCAGTAACTTTTCGGCGATTGAACAATCAGCCAGAGCCAACCAAGAAATGGGATCTGCCCCTAAACCTGCCATATTCACCAGCAAAAAACTTCTAAGGATTATTTCGCCAACTCTTCGCTGAAAAATGGCTAGGGAATAGAACTTCCGCCGATTCGGGCGACTTGTTGGTTGATGTCAAGGCGTGGATCGCACCCAAGAATCAAAACTTCTTCGCTTTTGGGATCCGACTAACTAATCAATGGGAAGCAGTGCTTGACGTAGATGGTGAGTAAGTTCCGAAGTAAATATTTGAATATGTCTTTGCTTAGTATTTCTATAGTTTCTTTAAGTAAAATTTGCTGGAAAAAATCCGCAATAATTATGCATCAACCTAATACCTCTGTCACCACCTATGATCCCGTAAGTGATGGAAGAACTCGGGTGAAACTAGGTTACCCAGCGTTTCAGAGGTATCTAAGATACTTTATTGTTGAACAATGATGCTCAAGAAATACGGCAACTCGAAAGGAAGTTTTTGATTTCCGTCTGATGAAAAAAAGTATTGGAGATATAAACATTCGGGAACTTTTACTATCTTGCTTGGCAGAGTCAAGCTTACTAATAGATTTCAAAAACCTCTATTGCTTGTAATTTTCAAAACAATGAAGCATTTCTCACCAGTCTACGACTTGATTATCGATGACGAGCAGCACCTTGGCATCTGGTGGCATCGCCGGTGGCCCACGACTCCGATCGTATTGCAGCGAACGTTCGAGAGCAGCTGCCAATGACTCAGAAGTCCTTGCCGGCGATGCAGGAGCACTGCAAAGGACGGTAAGTGACGGTAAATGTAGTTGAAAATTATTCCTAAAACGAAATGGGGACGAAGGGGATTCAACGGTAAATTCCAGGTGTTTTCATCATATACAGTGATTAGAAGATAATAGCAGGCGTATAACTTGATCCATTTCACTATCTGACTGCCTAGAATGACTCAGATTTATGAAGCCTAAGGGCTGAAGGCTTAATTCCTTCGTGGTCTGATCTCCGATGCATCTTTGCGACATGACGTCAAATGCCACTACTCCACATAAGCCAGCGTTGAGAAGTCGTTCATAAAAAAGCCGCTGCTCGTGCAGTAGGAAAGCAAAAAAAGCGGGCAATGGAATAGAATGAGGAAGGAGGGATCCGAACCAGCTTCTGCCTGAGATTCCATATGTGAAACCTCCCAAACATTGGGGAAATCTCTGTTTCCTAGCCTGGATTCATCTTACACCGATGGAAGGCTTTATAAGAGGCTATTTTCTTGCTCAATGCCTCCAGCTATGAAAGGCTTTGGTTGACTTACCCTACATAAAAAAAGCGATTCAGAGTAAGAGCCGAACTGCGGAGTGGGTCGGCACCTAAAACCGTCGCTTTATTTCTGCAGTGAGTCTGAGGCGTTTCGATTCCGTAAGATAGGATTAGTACGAGAAGGAAGGAGAATAAGCATTGCTGTTCGGAGCAAACTACACCAATGG